TCCCAGAAACTGACCCCTTGGAAGCACCAGCTTGTGCAACCCCCAAAACGCCTGTGCTACGTGAAGACAACAGTGAAAACTCCCCCGAGGCCCAAGTGGGAACCAATCCACAACAAGCGGACACCATCAACAGTATTCCGAAAATCAAAGTAGTCGATATAAACAAGCTTCTAGCTCCCAAAGAGGATACAGAGGACAGTCCCACAGTAAAGGGCAGAAAGTCGGTCACTTTCGACAGTTCAGTAGAGGTCCTGACCAGTTCAGATGAGGACACTCCGAAAAAGAACCCCAAAGAGAAGGACTTGAGCCCGTTGAAGAGTGTCCTGAGGAAGACCGCCTCAAGCCTGGTGATTGATTTGAGTGATTCAGGTGCGTAACATTTGCATTGTTATTCTGCACTGAGCATGTTTCTTTAATTAATCAGACTCGAAGGAGAATAATGAAAACTTGAAGAACACAAGAAAAACCCATGTGAAGCAACCGGTTGCGGACAAATCTTCAGAAGAATCCGACTCCGACCACTATTCCAGAAGCAAACGCCAGAGGCGCCAAGTAAAACACATGAAAAGTAAATTCACAGAGTTAATCGAGCGCAGAAGGACCAGAATAACTCAAGGTGGCGGTTCTTAGCTCGGGCTGGTCAGAGTTTTAAAAACGAACTCTGTTTCAGATAATTTGTCCGATGAAGAGAGCACTAAAGACAGGAAAACGCCCCTCAAGGAGAAGAGCGCCAAGAAGCGCAAAAGACGGGAGGAAAACGAATCGGATGGATCATCAGACGAAATTAACCAGCCGGACACGATGACCGCTCTGCCAGACCCCAAAATCCACTGGAAACTTTATATTCCGCTTCCAAAGTTCGCTTGTGAAGAGCTGCCCGCACTGTACACAAAGCGCAAGGAAGTTTTCCAGGCGGCGAAAAAGTAAGAAGGTTCTTAAGCGCTCCGCGCTTTGCCTAATGAATGCTCACTTTTAAGTGCCCGGCAGGAAACAGGGAACAGGAAACTCAAGCTGACGTTGAAACTCAACAAGACTCATGGGGCAAAAGGCGAAGCCTCAGACCAAACCACGACAGTGAACCAAGAGAGTGAGGCTTATACAGGGGTAAGTTTAAAATTGGAATTGCTGCTTGAAATCAAATTGTTTTGTCTAAAAAATATGCCAGGAAACCCGCTAGCGCGCATTATCGGCTCTCGTATTTCTTAACACCTCCAGAGGAATGAGATCAATTTTGAAAGTATTCGGAGAGTTTCTACAGCAGCATTTTTCCAGGACAAACCGGAACGAGCGAGCGCTATCGAGGCCAGTGCGGAAGCGAATGAGGCACAAACAACTAGCGCCAATGAAAATCCAGACGTGGATTCAACCTGCACCGAACAAAAGGTGTTTAGGCGAAAAATCTGAAGTAAATTTTGCTAAAGCGCGTGTTGTTTTGCAGTCCTTGATCGGGCAGTCGGACAGCGAGGATGACGTCGTGCCGCAAACACCAGACGAGGTAAAAGTCCCTGTAGGAAATCCACGCCAGTTTCTACAGACGCAATTTTCAGCATCCAAGCCAAGAAGCTGCTGAAGAATCCCAAATAGGCGCCGACACGTCGAAAGTGGCAAGCAGCGACAGCGACGAAGACTTTGCTAAACTGTCGAAGAAATTCGACTTAAAGTTCAACAAAAAAGTGACGAAAAAGCTGAAGAAGGTTCTCTTCTCGGACTCAGAGTCGGGGAGCGATCACGCAGAGAACAAGTCGGAGGCCAGCGACTCTGAGCATGAGCCTGACGAAGAGTCAGAATCGGAGAGCACAAGGTTGGTGTTTGCACACTCGCAGAGTGTTTTTCTAGTGGATCTGCATTTGTAGCAAACAGGCGGCCAGGGCCCGGATAAAGAAGCGGGGAAGGGACAGCAGCAGCGACGATGACGACAAATCCACCCGAAAACAGATTCGAAAGGTCAGTAGGGCGACTAAGGCAGATAGTGACATTTATTCCGTATTAATGATTTTTTAGATGATTGATCGGGACGAGCTGTCCGAAACCACAAGAGCAGCCGAGGAAAAGGAGAAGCAGCGCAAAGCGCGAATAGCTGAGAAGCAACGGAAAGTACGTGCGGCCCGAACGGGAGTGAGCGACGGCTAAACTAAACTAAACTAAACTTGCCAATGTGTTGCAGTACAACCAGTTTCACGAAACGAAGACGGACGCCACTGTCGATAAAGTGATTCTGGACTTCGACGAAGACAGCGAGAAGTCGCTGCTGAATGTGCACGAGAGCCTGGTGGAGCAGCTCAAGCCGCATCAGGTGCAGGGCATAAAATTCATGTGGGATGCCTGTTTCGAATCGCTGGAGCGGGCTCGGAAGGGGAAAGGATCCGGGTGCATTCTGGCCCATTGCATGGGGCTGGGCAAAACGCTGCAGGTAATCCTTGGAACACTGGACCGAAACAAGAGCACCTTTGAATTCTGCAGGTGATCACCCTCGTGCACACCCTGCTGACCCATCAGGACAAGACCAAAGTGAAGAAAGTGATGGTGGTGTCTCCAGTCAACACGGTACTGAACTGGATCAGCGAGTTCAAAAGGTGGATCCCGGACAACGACGAGTTTGAGGTGAGCTTGTCTGTGTCTTAACTTTGTCTGTATGGGAAAGTTTTCAATGGAACCCGATAAACTCCCAGTTGTTGGCAGGTGTACGAACTGGTAACCTGTCGAACGTCCGCAATCAACCAGGAGAGAAGCTACACGGTGAAATACTGGCACGAGAACGGCGGTGTGCTGATCATCGGCTACAACATGTTCCGGAACCTGAGCAATCCGGACAATAAGTCCATTTCGAAGAAGCTGAGATCCGTGTTCCAGACGGGGCTAGTGGATCCAGGTAATCCAGCAACTCCCTGCAGGACAACATCCACGATCTTCCTTTGTAGGTCCGGATCTGGTGGTGTGCGACGAAGGTCATCTGTTGAAGAACGAGAAAACGAACCTCAGCATCGCAATGAACCGGATCAAGACCGCGCGCCGGATCGTGCTGACCGGCACACCGTTGCAAAACAATCTGAGAGAGTACTGGTGCATGGTTCAGTTCATCAAGCCGAACTTGTTGGGCACTTACAAAGAGTATATGAATCGGTTTGTGAACCCGATCACGAACGGCCAATACACCGATTCGACGCAGCACGATATCATGGTGATGCGAAGGCGCTCGCACGTTCTGCACAAACTTTTGGACGGCGTGGTTCAGCGCCAGGACTACGCCGTTCTGGAACCGTATTTGCCTCCCAAGCACGAATACGTGCTGTTCTTGAAACTGTCCGATCTGCAAACGAAACTGTACAGGCACTACATGGACCACTTTGCCAGGCGCGGCGACGGTTCCAATCGGACTTCATTCCTTTTCACCGATTTCCAGGAGTTGCAGCGCATCTGCACCCATCCCAGGGTGCTGCTGGACAAGAGCATGGAAGACAGAGACAAGAAAGCCGTAAGGAATTTGAGTGGGGGCCAGAGTCGCGGGTCTGATTGGTGGGATTTCCGTCCTTTTCAGATTGTTGATGATGAAAGCGAGTCGGAAGGATCGCTGAAGGATTTCATTGACGACAGCGATGGCAAAACGAGCTCAGACGGGACCACGGACTCGGACGATTCATGTTCGGATGCATCTATTAGATCAAGCGGCAGCATTCAGAGGAAAAAGAAGAAGAAGCGGAAAGGAAAGTCTGCGCCCACAAGGTACGCAACTAATGCAAACTGGGACGTGGACGCGGATTAAGTTTGTCGACTGTGTTCTTCGGATAAGTGGAATTCTTCATGTGTTTGGCAGGAATAAATTCACACATTTTTGTTGTCACAAGTTTGAATCATCGTGCGTTTTATGCACACAGCATAAAAAGCACGATGATTCAAACTTGTGACAACAAAAATGTGTGAATTTATTCCTGCCAAACACATCAAGAATTCCACTTATCCGAAGAACACAGTCGACAAACTTAATCCTCTTACAAGTTCCAGTTACGAATCGGTTTGTATTAGTGCAATCCACGCGATCGCTTGATCTTGGGCACCGTGTCTTTAATTGTCCAGAAAAAATGCGCCCGCACAACCGGCGATTTAACGCTTATAGGCCTACCAGTTACATTCGCGAGTTCAACTGCCGGTGGTGGCGCTGCGAAACGTCAAATTACTCGTTGTCGAGTGACCTGTCAGACGCGTTTATTTATTGGAGTTTATGACATTTATACCATAAAACAATATTTACAAGCTTTTCGAACTGTTTCCATTTCCTTAAAAGCTGGCAAAAGTTGATCAGAACAAAGCAAAACAAGTCACAATCAGATGTAAACCCCAATGTCCACAAAAGAAGTGTCAAATTTCTACTTAAATTGTAGTTATAATTTTAGCCCCCGGGGGGCGTATGGACTTTTGAACTGGCGAATTGCGTTGTCGAAAAAGGGCCTACTATACGAGTAATCGCGGGCACATCCGGAAACTCAGACAGAAACTGTTTTCAGTAAAAGTCCGAAAACTCGCCAGTCGTGCATGCGAAACGTCAGGAAGTTCTGTCCCAGGACGGACTAAAAATCTGAAAAACCACAGTGCGCTCTCCGACCATCGCAATGAAAACTGGTTGCTGACGTTTTGCCAGCACGACTGGCGTCCCTCTTCAGAGGTGTGTTTTGCAATTCCTATTTTAACTCGCTTAAACAGGGCGACTCGGCTAACGCGTGCGCAAGCTGCCCAGAACCACAGCGATGATGAACTGGTGTTAATTGAGGAAGAGTCCGGGCCGAGGCAATGGTGGGAAGAGTACGTGAACAAGACCGAACTGGACAACATCGAATATGGAAGCAAGATTTTCATGCTGTTGCAGATTTTGAAGGAATGCGAAGAAATCGGCGACAAAGTGTAAGACTTCAGCCGGTTTCAGTCGGCGTTAGTGTAGCCAGCAACTGCTTTCCTGTGTAGATTGGTGTTCTCGCAGTCGCTCTACGCGCTCAACAGTATTCAGTACTTTTTGGAGCGGATCGACGAGGCCACCCAAAACGGGCAAACTGAGAAGGTGAGCGGCTACTCGGGCAGCTGGTCTATAGGGCTGGACTACTTCCGATTGGACGGCTCATCGAGCTGTGATAACAGGGCGAGCTGGTGCGACCACTTCAACAATCCCCAAAACACCAGAGCCAGGTGGGAACATAATTAACACTCTCGGGCAAACCGTTTCTGGAACCGTTCCCGTTTTAAGGCTGTTCCTCATATCGACCAAGGCGGGCGGTCTGGGCATTAACCTGGTAGCTGCTAATCGAGTCATCATTTTCGATGTCTCCTGGAACCCGTCGCACGACATTCAGAGCATCTACAGAGTGTATCGCTTCGGTCAGACCAAGCCGACGTACATCTACAGATTCGTCACTTATGTGAGTTGGCCACTTGTTGCTTGTGCTTAACACTTTTTTTTTAATGTTGGTACATAGAAAGTACTTATGGCAAACTTTACACTGATATATTTCTTTTGCAAAAAAGTCCATAATAATTTGAAGGCGAATTTAAATTCAAGTCAGATGTTTTCCGACAAAAACGCCGAATCCGTATCGTCGGTGGCCTATGCCGATTGTGACGTAGCAGGTCATATCAACAACAGCAACAACAAAGCATCTCGTGTTTATTTTGCTGTTTTCGCAGCTTTGTTTTATTATTTAAGTTACTGTGATTATCATTATTTTATTGATTATTATTATCTTGCATAATGGAACATAGTGACATGTATGGATCACAGAATAAGTGGTGTTTTGTGCCAGGAAGCAAGAATACCTCAATAAGTGCACCAAACAAACTCTTTCTAATCGTTCCTCATGATTATGCACGTGAAGTTTTATGGTTCAAAGCAGCTAGACGTGACGTTCCTATATTAAAGTCAATGTTTTTTTGTTTGCGAGGATCATTTTAATGAAAGTACGAACAATGTTAAATGATGAGGCAGACAGAATGCCTCCGATCGTACTTTGTGTTCTGAGCAAATTCTACCTTGTACAGTGCACAAAAAACCCTCGCGTTTCAATTTCACATATCCGATATCACCATACTGTTCTCGTGATGCCCAAAATACACATTTAAGAGTTCATTTTCCTTTTAAAGCAGCCATGTGTATAGGTTAGGTTACGTTGAATAAGTGAAATTCTATATATTATTTACCTAATTTAAACCAATACAGACAGATTAGTATATTAAGGAGAGCGTAACTAATAATGAATTTACGGATTTTTACTTACGCTGCTGCTTTCACACTCTTAAATCTGGCTGAATTAAAGCGTTCGTAGTTTTTTAAAAATTCGCCAAGCATAAAAATATGTACACATGGTAAATTGTTTGTTGACGCTTTGAGGTATCCTTCTGAAGCCATTTTTAAGTTTAACACACACTAAATTATTTAAATCCCCAAAATAATTAATGAAACACAACTAAACACTATGCACAGAACGTAAACAATCCGCCATTTATATGACCAGAGACGTCACAACCCATACGATTGCGTTTTAGAGATTCATGAATATTTTGAATTTTAGCTGAATTTGTTTATTAAATATTTAACAAAATAGCAATAGATAGATAGTATGAACTTATTTAATCTTTCATATACAGGGTGATTCAAAATTGGCGTCATTCCTTTTAAGGGGTGATAGAGGCTCTCTTGGGGAGTACGAGAAAAATATCGAAAATATTTTTTTCGAAAATTTCTAGAAGGTACTAACAGTTGAAGATCGAATTTCAACTTTGCTATTAAGCATTATTTTGAAATGGTTCCATGCTTAATTGGTAGCATATTGGAATAATTAAGCATTCAAAACGAAAAATTACGATCTTTGCTTCAAATTACGAAAATTTTTGATATCAAAAAAGTTCTCTTCTACAATTTTTTGATGAAAAGTCCAAGCGGCAATGATGTTTTTTGTCATTAACAGATAGTTACAGGTGGATAGCCCTTGTCAATAATAACAATAATTTGTCAAACTGTGACTTACTTTGAATTT